CGGTAATTGGAAGGGAGAACATAAAATAATCTCATTTTATTAATACAATGAAAACATAAATTCTGTCAACGCTCTCATTTGGGGGTGTTATAAAACCATATATCCCCAAAGGAGCAATGGACTACCATTAAATTAATATTCTCAACAGGTCAGTGAACTTTATGACCCAGAGAAGAAGAAATGCTTTATAAAATTGGTGCTTAAATATTGATTATTTTTGGTAGCTCTCTTAAAGAGAAGAAACCAAGCAAAAATGGTTGCTCAAGGGCACTTGGGTCCTCCTTGCTGGGTCTTCCAGTTGTTGTAGCAAGGGCACACAGCTTTGTTGCCATAGTAACCAGGAGGAACACAGAGACACTTGGCACAGCATTTTTGGCAGAAGAACATGCATGGCTTGTGGTACTGTGTCTGGCTACATCTCCTTGTGCATTGTGATGGGCATTCTGGTAATTCAATTGTGAGCTTAATTAAAAACACATCATTTATTAGGGCAGAAAATTAATTAATCTGCATTTTAGGCAAGAAAATGGGAGGGATGTTCTAGTGATGGTACTTACGGTAGCTCTTTAGACTCCCAGGACCATACCTTCCCTGGAGAGAAAAAAAAATTACAAAAAATTAAATCAGAAAATGACCATTTTAGCCATAATGCAGATTGCAAAATTATGAAATCATGCTTCATTAAGAATAGGAACAACTTACACTGTCCAAGTGATACTGGGTTTCTTGTTTTGCCATAACCTGCAAACATTGGAAGAAAAATAAGAGAGAGAAATTGAGTAAGAAATAGTGCAGTTGAGATTAATTAGGGGTTCAAATGGTCACCTGTGTTGCAACCATGGAAATCCCAAGGAGGGCTAGAAGAAGAAAGCAGACAAGCTTAGCCATGGCCATTGCCTCTTTGGAAGGAGAAACAAAACAAGGATGGAAGGAGTTGTGGGGCTTGATTTAGAATGCAGTGTAAGCATTGGCTTTATATAGATCTCTTTGCCATGAATTGTCTGATTACCTTATTTTATACAAAAATACAATAATATTAAAGTACCTGGTTTTATCTATGTTAGGCTCTTATTATGACTCATATTCCAAAATTGTCCATGTTCAGAAAACAAAGAAAATTCCTAAGTTCATTATTTTTTATTCGAATTTGAAACAATTTTTTTTTTTAATCTAGGATATACTTTATGATAATTTTTGGAAGGGCTTGCAGGTAATTTCACAAAACTGCAGTAAGTAACATGGGAATGTCATCAACTGCAGTGTAGGTGGTCCATAAAAACAGAGCAAGTAGGGGGGAGTAAGATGCATGATTGGTGACGTGGCAAGATCTGAGGGTAGGTGGAGTGAGAAAAATCTGGTGTGGCAAAGTGCATGCCAGATTAGGGCTGGGTTAAAAATAATGGGGAGGCAGGGGGCCTAACCTAATAATTGAATAATTGAATGGGGTGGGGCCGGGCCCACAGGTCCAAAGGTCCACAGGAGGAGGAGGAGGAGGAGTTTGAGATTGTGATTGTGATTGAGATTGAGAGCCATGTGATTATATGAGGACCTTATCTGAAGCGAGCACATGACTTTTACCCAAAACGACACCGCCAGTACGCATAATGCGCTGAAAGATTCAAAATCCATCCCCTCCTGTCTATTTGTGTTTGTGTTTTTTTCTTTTTTTGTGTGTTTTTCCCTCTTATGGTGGGTGGGCCAAGGAAAGTTTGATGGTGAGATTGGGCCTCAAATATCAGGTCAGGGGCAATGCAGGCCCCGTTGTAAGTTAGGCCCAAAGGTGGGCCCCCACTAGACTTTTTGTACTATCTGCTTGCGCGCCCCTATCATTTTTTGATCTCTCCCAAAATCATATAAATGCTCTTCCTTTGCGTCTGGTGAGATGTGATGTTTCTTTCAATCAGTTATAATGAAAGTTGTACACTCGGCCACCTTGTCCTCTTTTAAATACGGAAAAACTTGGATGAAACGGAGATAACAATGTTTTGTTATTCTTGACAAATCATAAATTGCTACGTGAAAAAGTCATCACGTATGACATATCGTAATTAGTCGGAGATGAAAAAATAGTGCTATCTCCGTTTCATGTAAGTGTTTCTCCTTCAAATAGGTCATTGGTTTTTTCATTTTCATTTTCTTTTCTTTGTTAATATATTATTCTAGTTAATTTAGAAGTACAAGGGGTCATTGTATTTGTATCCAATCAATATTTCAACTCAACTAGCTTAATTACGAGCAATGTGTTAGCTATCTGTCAATGCTGTCGAGAATTTGTATCGATTCCCTCTCCTTCACGATAAAAAAACAAAAAGTAGCTCAGCTTTTATTTCTTTGGTAGCTTGTATTGCTCCAATTTTGAATCGGCTTGAAGCAGCAACATGCAATAACAGCATATAATTTGATAGAATCGATTAAAAACAAACATTTTACTTTAATTAACAGAAAAAATGTGCAATTTACTACACATGGCTAGGTTTCCCACATGCGATTGGTCTGAGCAGCCCTGCTGTGCTGTGCTGATATATATATATATATATATATATATATATATATATATATATATATATATATATATATATATATATATATATATATATATATATATATATATATATATATATATATATATATATATATATATATATATATATATATATATATATATATATATATATATATATATATATATATATATATATATATATATATATATATATATATATATATATATATATATATATATATATATATATATATATATATATATATATATATATATATATATATATATATATATATATATATATATATATATATATATATATATATATATATATATATATATATATATATATATATATATATATATATATATATATATATATATATATATATATATATATATATATATATATATATATATATATATATATATATATATATATATATATATATATATATATATATATATATATATATATATATATATATATATATATATATATATATATATATATATATATATATATATATATATATATATATATATATATATATATATATATATATATATATATATATATATATATATATATATATATATATATATATATATATATATATATATATATATATATGTTTTTTATGGTTCTGAGTAAATCATTTGAATTGTTTAATAGACAGACTGATCTGTTACAGATATGTAAAAAGCTTGTGCATTATCTCTATTTCATACTCATGATCATTGATCATACTGGAACATACGATATGCAGCCTAATTACAATATAAATCTGTCGACGGGATGATGGGGGTGGGTCACCAGAACATGTAAACAACAAACACTCCATGAATAAACAAAACTACAATCATGGATTGGATAGGCTTTGCCACCATCCAATTTGCCTGTAGGTCATGAGAAAAAAGTGCACAACATAGTACGACACTAGGAATTTATAATGAAAAATTCATTGGAAAAGTGACAAGGAGAAAGAAAGAAAATAAAACCAAGATAACAAAAGATGAGCAACGATGGATGTTGTAACGACTAGTTGATCCTGAAATGGTTTTCATATTGGACATGACTCAACCAATCTAATCACTATACTATTGCGGCAATGATTCTGTTCCTGGCCATGATATAATATTGAAATATTCATTCTTTTTGATCGATCGGATCGCAATGTGCGTGTCGAAGAACAACTTTCAAAGTTCCACTTAATCAATCAATAAAAGTAAACCTTATTATATCTTCATTAAGGACAATATAAAACTTGGTCATCATGATCTTACCACATGAGATAGCATAATCTTTTCTTCTGCTAAAACACATGATCATTTCATTCCCATTTCCTTCACTATGATGCCCTAAAGCTCTTCATTAAGGATCTACGTACTAACACATCTTCCACTGGGCTTTCAAAATTTAACCTCTCCCCCTATATCCTAACCCTTAGAGCTGCAAATGATGCCATCCTCTCATAAATTTCTTCATAAAAGAGTAAAAGGGTGTGTGTGTTGGTGATCTTTTATTTAATTTCTTGACATGGCCGGCCGCCCCCCTACGCATTACCTAACAGGGCATCTCACAAATCCACGTTAAACATATGGGTTTAGTGGGTGGGTGGGGAAGGGGACAAATCTCTCCAAGGACATTGAAGCATAGCTTCCACTAGTTCAACTTATTTAATAATAATGTTGCTTTGAATTTCCTTTATTATCTGTCTTTCATTTGGCTTCCAACAAGTTCCACTCATGAGACCACCGAAAAGTAGAGAGGAGGGACACTTCGCAGTACTATAACACTATATATAATTTCTGAATTTTAATCTTCGTAACAGATTTTAATAAATTTTTTTTAAAATGTGATATGATAACGTGATTGGATGTGTGGGCCTTTCACAAGTTATAACATATTACAGTATGTGTTGAAAGAAAAGTCATTCTCATGATCAATGTTTGTGGAGCTAAAAGAAGGAGATTATGCTGATATAAACAACACCTATATCCTTAGAAACATTAATTTCATCCTTGTTTCAATCACCCTTCCCCTCCAATTTGGTGTATATAGATACAAGAGCTTCTGCTCTTTTCAAAGTCTATATTCCATTCAAACTAATGTTATGTACACAAATAACATAGTTGAGCTTGAAGTATGATAGTTAACTTTCATTTCTTTAATTTTCAAAGAAATTCAAACAAATAGAGAGAAAAAAATCATGGTTTTGCTTACATGAAAGGTTAAACTTAACGTCGAGCAGGGTTACCATAGTGGTTGTGGCCCTCCCCCTTGCCCCCTGCTTGGCACTCAGGATCGAAACCCCAGGGTTTCTTTCCTCCCAATGTAACCAAAAAGATTAAGCTTAACTAATTAATAAAGCTTAATATATAACTGAAGCCATGGCCATATCTCAACATATATAGGAACTTGTTTTTGTTCGGACCAAAATTAACAACCGCTAGCTGCCAACGTACAGCCTGCTAGCGGCCAGGCATCGCAATGTTCAAAACCTGACGAACATTTTTCTATTGAACAATCAAATTAAAGTTTGATAATCTCTTCAGAGTCATATCTGTTGACAATGATATACAAGTAGAGAGAACAATTCACAATCAGTTAATTTCAGAAATTAAAAGGCCCTTCTTCCTATACACGCGATTTCATTAATGCCCTTCAAATTTTACTATGACTACTATTACCGATAAGTGTTGGGTGGAGAATACTCACAAACAACCTCAGTTTCCACTTCTCTTCTGTGAAAATTCCTGTGGCAGCCACAAGCAGCGCATGTAAGAGCCTCAGTTGTCCCCTCCTCACCACTTGCCATGAATTCTCTGCACCCATCCACAGCATACCCTCCTAAATTTGCAGCATGGTTCTTCTGGCACTCACCATACCTCACAGTTCTCACCATGGAAGACGAAGTGCTCGAGCTCCTCCCCGAACTGTCCCGTTTCACCACCACTTGGCGCTTCTTCATGCTTCAAAAACCCTAATTCTTCTTTGTGTCAGTGGAATTGGACCTCAGAGCAGCAAGTCTCTTCAAAAGCTTAATCATCCAAGTAAGGATTATTGGTGAGCTCAAAAAAGAGGGGATACGTTTGGATTGGTTGTTTGGTGCCTGCCTAACCCTAACCCTAGTAGGTATATTTATATAGGTGCGTGTGTGGAATGGCACTAGCTATATAGGCAGCAGGCACTAGTGCAGAAGAGAAAAAGAGGGCATGAGCTAGCATTGAGCAGCCTTTGTTTAACCCACTAGGGAAATTTTCTATGTTTGGGTTTTTACTAAGAGAAGAAAGATCGATCGACAATCGAATTCATGTTGTCGGCTAATGGCTACGTAACACGTCACTAGAAAATTGATCGCAAAGTTCAATTATACTATTGCCAAAACAAAAAAAAAGGAGGAAGACTGAAGAAAGGTTAGGCTCTTTTGGATATATAAATAAAGTTTATAGTCCATTCTGTAAACGTGGCTCACTCTGATATCAATTGCAGGTTCCATCAACAATTAATAGTGGAATTCAAAGTAGAAAACTCTTGTCCTTACATAAACCAGGAAAAGTTGAAAACCTAGCTCGATTGGTCTTTGGAAATGATATCTCAACTGTCCTGCCGGACTTATAAGCCAAATAAATTCCAGCTCTTAGTTTTTTTCCCCGCTTGAAATTGACCTTTTGAGTTTAGGGTTCTTCAAAGATTGGGATTTCAGATTTCAAATTTGGTCAATTTCGAGCCCTAATATGAAATGGAGAGAGTTTTAGACGAACTTTTACGGTCAAGGATTTTGGGTTGATGAAATTGCCCCTTGTGGTGACTCGGGGTTTCAAACCTCTGCCCACATAGTTGGACCTGAAAGAACTTAACCAATTGAGTTATACATCAATGGCAATTTGTAGTTAAAGTAATGAGAGAATTGAGATATTTTTCACATTTACAAAACTCATTTGAATAGAAGAAATTTTATGTGAGTTCCACATTTATAAGAGATGTGACAACAATTTGAGTAGATATTGCTGGTGATTGATTTTATGGCCGGAATTAGCGATGATTGTTTAGCATAGAATGACCAACCCAATTGAGATTCAAGTTTTATATTTCCGTGGGTCCAAATTGATACTTAAAGACAGGTTGCTGTGACCCTTGAAACTGTGGCAACCACTCTTGTCTAAGTGTATACCTAAGATCTAATTATTAAGAGGATAGCCCACGCTCTAGAAAATGACCACAATTCTCTTCTCTTTGTATCAAATCAAGGACAATCATAACTTTATAAAATTTCAACATCAAAGAGATGCTCTTCAAATCTAACCTACTTTCCAGCTGAAAAATAAATTAAGGGATATAGCGAAAAAGATATATTGTGGAGAAGAATTTTCGTTTAAATTATATAGAAAAGAGTAAATGTACGTAATACCTGAGATATATCTTACGACTAACTTTTTATCAAACAAAAGAATATGCATTAATATCGATGAATATTGAAGATCAAGTGGTAGCATGAACTTTTTTAAAAGCTAATGAAAACCACCATGTATATATGTATTTCATGCAAACAATTATTCGCTTTTGATGCATGATGGTGGAGTTGATGAATTAAAGCATGAGTAATGGAGATGCAGAAGCAAACATGACGAGCCTCCACCATATGAAATTATCAAAGTGAGGAAACAAGGCTGAGACAGATACACCGTGGGGCGATAACATGTGCCTATATTTTGCCACCTTCTAAAATATTAAAGTGAACCGAGGGACAAAGACACATGTGGTTGTCAATCAGAAAAGTCAATATAAATTGAAATGGTCACAGTCTCACAGATAAAATATGAAGCTCATATATATATCTATATATATATATATATATATATATATATATATATATATATATATATATATATATATATATATAT